CCTCTCTCACGGCCTCGAAGAGAGCGACCCACTTTTTCTCACGATCCTGCAGCTTCAGGCTGCCATGGGTCCAGGGTTAAGGCCGCTCGGCATAACCCAAGTAGGCTGGGGCTTACCTAAACGCTAAAACCCAGACTTTTACAGGTTGCCTGCTATGATTCCCTTACGTAGTTACACTTTCTTCCCTCACTATCACACAAGTTTTGAAGGGTTAAGGTAGGGCTTAGGACGATCAGAGAGCGTCAGATGTCTATTATCGCAGGGTCACTTACACTGTCTTGAGGTGTACTAAAATGTACTAAGTCTAGGTATAATACGGGCACTCCTGTTCCTACCATTCGGTTTTACGAAGGCGAGCCTTGCGTTTAGGGATTTTACTGTTAGGGTTTACATATGACGTCAATGCTTTCGACGTTTGGGATGGAGTGGTGGGCCCTGCTGGGACTGCGTTTCAAGACACGCCCGACATTTCTACCGGGTTCGACACCAAGAACTTAACAGTGCGATTGCAAATAGCAAACTTTAGCCCAAAACCCCGAACCCTATCCCCTAAACCCCAAGCTCCAAACCCTAAAACCCGGATGGTTGTCAAAATTATGGTCCCTTTCTGCGCCCCTAACAAAATACGGCAGCTACTATTTAGGGTACCCAAAAGGGACCCCTATTTTGACAACCACCCAAGTGGGTCAAGGCCTGAACAAAATCTCATCTAAGCCACAGCCTGGCTTCCTTCAAACCCCTGCCATAAAAATCCGGGATCCTGAATCTAGTTCATTGTTGGGATAGGATTAGAAATGTACATTTTTCTTCCTTATGGGGGTTTAAGTACCCATAAACATGTAAAATGCTACCCAACTATGACAAAGGAATTCTACTTGGAGGTTCATGGGTAGTTATAAATGGGGTTATATGTCCCCTAATAGGGGTTATGGCCATAGTTACCCTAATTATAACTGGATCCTGAATTCTAACTTAGGTGCTGCCCCCATACAGTAGGAGTCTATAATAGGGTTACGATTAGGGCCCTAATATATCTGTATTATGAATATGATTCAACTATTACTGTGTGGGGGCCGTACCCAAACTCTAACCCTTACCTATAGTCTCCGTTGTAGTTTCTTTTCGTGGTTGCCTTATAGAATCCTCAATACAAAATGGGTTCAACAATAGAATGGAGACTAAAGGTATGCAATAACATACCTGTCCAGTATCCCAGCGGAACTTCAGGTTAACCGGTTAACCTTCGGGATTACATAGGGATTATAGTACACCCAAAAGGCTCCAGCACGACATGAGAAAAGCCGCATCCCCAGCTCCCAAGCAAAGCTTGGCACCCTGCAGTACCCTAAACTTCCAAGCCAGAACCCGAACACTTGAAACAGTGCTGAGATTTCGACTCCTGAATGGCTTGGCCGTCAAGACCGAAGATCCTGAATATCTGAATATCAACACCTGAGCACCATGGGCTACAAACCCGCTGCTTGCCTGCCGCACAAACGCGGGCTTGCTCTGTAGAGTGCCCTGCGCTGGACCCAAGGTTAGGCTACAAAAAGCGTTCAGGGCTCAGAGCTTCGGGTTCAGGGCCGATATTAGGGTTTAGGGAGAGCTTTTGGCTTTGGGGCTAGCAAGGTGCATTTCCGGGGTTTGTAACTGCAGGGGAAGCAGTGCAATGCATGCTTGTAATCTACACAGCTGACTTTGCAAGATCTCAATGCTCAAACCCACTTCTGTGGGGGTATCCAGACCCCAAATCAATTCCTAAACCCTGTAACCTACCAAGCCCAAATGAAGCCTAAACACCGTCGGGCACCCTGACGGGTTATGGGTTGAAGTTCAAGCCTACAAGCCGGACCCTTACGGTTGATGATATAAACCCTGCATTACCCATAATAAGGAATGTACCATAACTCCCATAGTTTAGGGTCCTTAAGGTAGTGCAGGATTTATGTTCATCAACCGTATTTGGGAGGATTTGGGGCTGCCGGTAAACCTGAAATCTGAAGCTTTAGCTTGAGTTGGAGGCCTCAAAAGGTGGGAGGAAGGTAGGTAGGATTGAGGATCCCCTATATAACGACTTTGGGGATTACCCCACCTACCTTCATCCTAGCTTTTGAGGTCCCTGCTTGAGGGTTCATAGACGAGTACGGCGGCCAAAGCGTTTGGGAAAACAAGATACCTGCCCAGAGACCCCAATACCCCTTAATCGAGGAATATGGCTTAAATTATATAGGGCTTCATATTATGATTTAAGCTATATTCCTTAATTAAGGGGTATTGGGCTCTCTGGGTGCAGGATTGTCTCGGAAAAGTGCCGGACTCCCCGGGCATTCGCACGCACAGAGAATCCCTAAACCCTGCCTATGGGGCTCAACATCAACAGCACCAAGCCTGGATACTAACCGCGATCCAAGAACAACGAAGTCCCGAAACCCCAAGCTTGATGCTGAGGAATCAGGTGCAGGGGACTTAATAGTTACCTATACTATTTTGGGGTTCAATAATAACAATAATAATAACAATAATAATAATAATAATAATAATAATAATAATAATAATAATAAATAATAATAGTAATAGTATAATGTTCCCCGAAACCCTAGTCTAGTTATTAAGGCCCCTATATTATAGCCAGAGTGATTTCGTCGCATATGTGACTAGAGCAGCTTTTTGGCTTGCATCTGGCTTCCAAATGCATGTCAGGACTCGAATCGGAAATAGGGCAGGAGTATGACGGAATTGATACTCTATAACCAGGACCCTCCATGTGCCCTCAAATTGGGGTATATGGTCCCAAGGGGCACTTAGGGTCTAATAGAGGGTAGATGGAGGGTCTAAGAACAGGATTAACCGATTATGGGAAATCCACGAGACGCTGTCTTGCACTGTACGATTGCAATCAGGGACGTGAGGCTTTCTCAAGCAGACCCTGATCCTTGAAAGCCTGGGTTTAGGGTTTAGGGTTTACGGTTTAGGGTTTAGGGTTTAGGGTTTACGGTTTAGGGTTTAGGGTTTAGGGTTCAAAAGCCTAAAGGGAACTCCAGAAAGTTGGAGTATGGATTAATGGTAGGGGATCCCCTATAACTTACCCTTAAAGGGGGTTACGATAATGATATTCCAACTTTCTGGCTTCTGCTGTAAACCCCATCAACCCCAAACCTTCGGCAGGTTCCTGGAGTATGCCGTACTGTCGCGACAGCTACATACGGTTGATGATATAAATCCTGCATTACCCACAATAAGGAATATACCATAATTCCCATAGTTTAGGGTCCTTAAGGTAATGCAGGATTTATATCATCCACCATATGGTACAGCTTCCCCAGTCTGTCTGTAGTCCATTGAAGAAATTCCTTTAGCCAGACAGAAACCGCAGAATACAACCAAGCAACAAGATGGACTAACACCTACACCCTAAGCCATAAATCCCTGAACGCTAAACCCTAACAGCTTTCAAACCATGGACTGAAATATCGGTGCTGTAAGCCTGTCATATCAAAGGTGTACAGGAATTGCAGGATCCGAAGATATTCAAAGTAACTGGGCTCCTAGTCAGGCCAAGCCTTTGCCACCATATCGTCACAAATCCGCTGCGCAATCTGCGCTGCACTCCATTCCGGCTGCACCATGGCGGCTGATCTTTGCTTGGCTTCCTTCTCAAATGAACACAAAGGAGAGCCAAACGTTTTCAAACTCTGCAATTTTCGACAAGACTCCGAATGTAACTAGCAGCCGAGTCCCTCTGTGCTAAAGATATGACCTGCCGGCAGACCGACACATGTCGAATTGCATGCGCGCGCGACGCAGAGCAACGGTCGGCTGCGGCATACTTGCAGTGTCATCTAATGGAGCTCAAAACCTGAATTTCCCATTGCCGGTGCTTTGTAATTGTGCTATACAAATTTCGGAACCCAAAACTTTGAACTCCCTAAATCCTGAAGTGCCCCACACCTATGAAACTCCCACGACGAGTCCCGTCCATAACAGCCGAGGATCCCTCAGCAACCCAGAAAAAAGGGCTCCCTTGTTGCTGAGGTATCCTTTAAGCCCTTTGAAAATTATTGGCTATTATGGTTCTCTACAAAATAGTAGAGGAAATTAAACAAGATCCCAAAGGACAACCCAGGTTGTTATTAGGTAGTATAGTTTAGGGTTTAGGGCCTAGGGAGTATGCATAAGGACCCTAAGACCACAAAAAGGATAAACGTGACCAGTGTTCGCAGGGGAAAAGGAGGGACCCTTAAAGGGGACCCCTACCCGATAATGGGCTATATAATGGGTATATAATAGCTTTATTGAGGGTATATACCTAGGGGTCCTTATCAAGGGTTCTCCTTTTCCCCTTTGAAGTGTGAGACCTGGTCTGGTCTATGCCTATGCTCCCTCCCCTACAAAACCAGATCTTTCAGTATGATCTCCTCATAGGAGTCCTTCGAACGATATCCTTGTCGGGGGTAAGTTTGGGCAGTTAGGCCTCAAAAGATTTCCATACAGAAAGGTATATCTGACTTTACTTTAAAGACTCTAAGGGTTCAGGGTTTCGGAAGCCAACATATGTACCCTGAGGGGGCGACAAGGACCTATGAAGACCCAACCTTCATCCTACGCCGGCTCATTGTCAAACCTTCCAGGGCTAAGGGTTGAGAGGTTTAATTACGGTTTAGGTTTTCTTTTAAGTTAGGTTGACGGCCTTCTTTGTGCGCCTGCCCGAGTCGGCTCCTAACTAGGTCGCACTGGTTTAGGGTTTAGGAGTTTGGGACTTTAGGATAGCTTTTGAGGGCTCATGCAGGGCGTAGGGGCAACTCAGAAACGCCAACCCCTGTAAATTGAAAGCCTGCAACCCCGAAACTCGAAAGCTCTGCTGCCGTAAACCCTAGAACTCGGAACCCTAAGCCCCAAACACTGAAGCTTTCAACCCACCGGAAACTCCAAGACGAGACGTTTTCTAGATCGAACAAAAGCGCATTAAGTTCAGCAAACCCTAAACCCTAAACCGTTCCTGCCTCCTGAGCAGTGACCGTGCTTGGCCTGTGGGCTGAAGACGTCATATGCGGGGTTTAAAGACCTAGTGTCTATACCCATAGGCTCCATAGTAGCTCCTTTGGGGGGATTACCTTGTAGAACTTGTAGGATTCGACATATGAGGCCCGAAACGGAACTCCTATCGAGCTTATGGGTAGATGTCAGGGTGTATTGGATTAGGGCCTCGGGATAAGGGCTGGAGATCGTCCTTCCATAGGGGAAAATTCCCCGAACGCCATGGCTGATACGGTTGATGATATAAATCCTGCATTACCCATAATACGGAATATACCATGACTCCCATAGTTTAGGGTCCTTAAGGTAATGCAGGATTTATATCATCAACCGTAGCACACGATCAGGCGCTTCATACGCCCTTCCTCTCGAGCCAGCCACTGGTTTGTCGCGTTGGACGTGATAGCCCGCGCGACCGTACCCAGAGAGCCCAATACCCCTTAATTAAGGAATATGGCTTAAATTATAGGGCTTCATATTATGATTTAAGCTATATTCCTTAATTAAGGGGTGTTGGGCTCTGGGTACCCCGTTTGCACACGAAACGAATACACAAGGTGACACGTGAACCTTCTATGCTTCACTCTCGTACAAAGCTTTGCTACTTCTGGAGGAAAAACAGACGAGTTGACGCAAGCTTTTGCACGATGACCCCGCCGGTCACTCGCCGTAGGTGTCTTGTAGCGTGTAACCACTTCCGCCAGGTTTAGTTGGGGCGACCATGTACTGTAGGGGACGTAACAATTAGAACAGGGTTTTGGTGATTCTTTCGTATAAGTATAGTGTAATATACCCCAAACCCCCTTCTAATCATTAAGGCTCATATAGTAGCAATGTTCGGGTTGGCGCTTGAATTGCCTTAACCCGGACAATTTTAGATGGCCTTTGGGATATGTCGAGCCTGGGGATACGACATTAGAGCCCAGTAGCTTCGCATCTGTCGAGTTGCTGAGCGATCTGAACCAGGACAAGACTAGAACCCCGAAGGTCAACACACTAAAGCTTTAAAGCGCTAAACCGCACACCCTCGACAGCAAGCCCTAAACCGTACACGCAAACAGTGTGAATCCTGCAAACTCCCTACGCCCCGATTTAACAACCATAATTTAGCCGCAAACTTACTTTAAATCCTACAAACAAACCCCGCGAGCCCCACAGGCCCCTTAAACACCGAAAGCCCTAAACCCCTTTCAACCCTAAACCTGAAACCCTGAACCCAACTTTAAGCCCGAAACCCCCTTCAACCCTAAGCCCTAAACCCCTTTCTTCAAGGCCTTTAAAGGGGACTATATGGACTACTATAAGGGCTCCTTTAAAGGGGACTATATGGACTACCACAAGGGGTTCCTTTAAAGGGAAGCTTCGCTCTCCCTGGCCCGGCCTCGGTGCGGGGACGGCGACTGCGTTCGTGCCTGTGAGCTGTCGCACGGGACCGGTGCCTGCAAGAACTCGTGGGTGTAGAGCTCCGGGCTTCTAGAAGGGATTTTTGTTTGCAATGGGGCCTACACTATAGGGGTTCACAGGAGGTGCATATGCACATATATATATATATATATATATATATATATGCACATATACAAACACATATGAAGACAGTTTTCTTACATTTACTTACTTGTATGTATATATATATATACACACACACACGGAGACACATATTATGTGTGTATATATATATGTATGTATGTATGTATGTATGTATGTATATATATATACATATATATATATGCAATCAGGCAATTACTGTAAAGAAAGGCTGGTTATTAGTCCTAAAGTCCCACGGCCTGAAAGCCCCCAAAGCCGATCCTGCTGGGGCCGGTGGCGCCGTTTGGGCCGCTTGCGGTGGATACCTGAGGCTTCGCCGGAAGGGTTTAGGGTTTTGGGGTTGAGGGTGCCGAGCCCACATCATTCGCACGCTTAGAGGATGAACCTTTGAGCTCTACCCATAGGCCCCATAGTAGTTCCTTTTTGGTGTTCATATTTGGCCCCATAGTAGTTCCTTTTGGGGGTCATATTAAGAATCCCATAAGGTAATCCCAACAAGGAACTACCATGGGGCCTATGGGTAAATTCCCGAATTCCAGGCCCGGTATACCCAATAGTTTAACTCCCCCGCTGAGAAGGCTTGATTGACCCCTGACCCCTGATATGGCGGCCGAAACAACTACCAGCCGAGTTCCTTCGGAGTGCTTACAATCTCACACCTAATTCTAAATACTAAGGTCAATTAATACTACTACTGGTTTTTATGCTACTTGACCTGCAACCCTGCAGACTCAGGAAGCCCGGGCGTCTTATCTGCTCTAACCCTTAACCCGTACCTTGAACTACCAAAACCTGCTTGTTGTAGATTCCTTATAAAACTCTGTATTAGGATTCAAAGTAAGAACCTACAGCAAAGTAGGTCATGGTAGTTTAACCCCTATAACAGAGCTCCATCCTGCGCTCGACGAGGGTGCTGCTAAGGATCATCCCGAATATGCCCACCGAATCAACCCTTCCAGACTTGTGAGCGGCGAAAAGCATCTCAGCCAACTCTATGAGCCCTGAGCGCTCCCAACCCAGTGACTCCAAAACTCTACTTTGGAAGATTTTGAGTTTTGGACTTTCGGGTGTAGTAGCTTAGCATTCTGGGCAAAGAGGGCACCATGGCATCGTTCAAAATGTACATTGCCGAATTGAAGAAAATGGAGTCTCTGAGAACATCTGCGGAAGCACTCAAGGCCGTGAAAACCCAGAACATCTTAACCCTGAGCCTATACTCCCTAAGAGTCCCGAGCATCGAGAGTTTCTTAATCTTAAGCCCTAAACCCTAAACCCCTAAGCCCTAAACCCTAAACCCCTGAGCCCTAAACCCTAAACCCTAAACCCCGAAGCCCTAAACCCTAAACCCTAAACCCCGAAGCCCTAAACCCTAAACCCTAAACCCCGAAGCCCTAAACCCTAAACCCTAAACCCCTAAACCCCTAAACCCTAAACCCTAAACCCCTAAACCCCTAAACCCTAAACCCCTGAGCCCTAAACCCTAAACCCCTGAGCCCTAAACCCTAAACCCTAAACCCCTGAGCCCTAAACCCTAAACCCTAAACCCCTGAGCCCTAAACCCTAAACCCTAAACCCCTGAGCCCTAAACCCTAAACCCTAAACCCCTGAGCCCTAAACCCTCAAGTCCCCATAAATTGAGCTTGCGTATTACACCGTGCATGGTATTCCATTACATTCTTTTCAAGTTGAAGCAAATACACTTAACATCATATCCTTAGATATGCATAGCCGTTTGCACAAGTTATTGCAATCGAGTTTAAGTAAATTGAATTGATTATTCCGCCACCACCACCACCAATATGCAATCGAGTTTAAGTAAATTGCACCAGCCCGCTGGCTCAGAATGGCCTAGGGACCTAGTCATAGTCAGAATCCTTTCGTTTTGCCGGGGTTGTAACATCCTCTGGTCTCGGCTCGCCACCCGAGTGAGCGAAATCGTAGGACGACCTTGGTTGAAGATTGTTGAGACAAGGGGAAGCTCAGGACAAAAAGCGCAAACTCCATGGTGACATCTGCCCGTCCGCCGACGGTGGAGAGTCGGAACCCAACAGGATCCCAAGACGATCACAACGGAAGGCCAACGTGAAACAAGACAGCTGCCGAGATCCCAACAGAATTGGTGCGCACGATCTTTGTACAAGTAATGCAGCCGTCTATTTGAAGTGTCCCTCTAAAATAGATCGGCCTGCAGCGCACTGACACTTGACTGGTCCTGCACTGCACCACAGTCACCAACAGACCTTCCCGCAACCCCAAAACCCTGAAAAAAAAAACCGTGCTGCAGAAGCAACAAGGGGCAAGAAGGTTGACAACCGTTAGTTTACAGTCAATGAGCACAAACGCTCCAAACCCACGTGAACCGAGAACGAAAAAACAAGCTGTCACGGGCAGGCAGACTACAAGGCTAGCAAGTCCCAAAGATCACAACGCCCCGAACCCAAGGGTAGAAGACATAAAGATCTCAAAGACCTGAACCTCAAACCCGAAACCAGCAGACAAAGTCCCCGACAAGCGAAGCAGTGGCGACCTGAGCAGGAGGGAAGAAACGAGCCAAGGTGCAGGACACAGCCAGGCGGCAAAGGCATGCGAGAAGAAGCACGGCAGCGGGGCACTCTATTTTCAAGGCGACCGCAAAAGAAAGATTGCGAAAGACACATGCATGCCCCTTCGCCTATTGCCTGTACAAAAGAATGGTCACAAAAAGGTGTCCTGCAAGGGGCCAAGGTGATGCATGCGCATCGACACGTGGCTTTGCTTTATCGTGCAAACGAGTGACAACAACGAAGCTCCACAACATGTCAACTGAGGCTCCGACCATATTACCCAAATATTTGAAGGACATACCATTTATGGTTGCTCGCCTGCCCGCACAAATCTGTGCTGTATTGTACCATGGCAGAAACACAATATGCGCCAAGTCTCTTTCTTCCACATATCCGACCATAACGATCGCAAAGTAGAACCTGGCAAAGGAAATTGACGGTGAGAAACCCGAGATGAATCCGAGCGTTGCAAAGCCTTTTGCGCTGATTTTACATCAAAATCGAGTAGGCCAAGGACGTGGTATATTCGCCTAGAAACAAAATGGACGCACGACCTTTGTCCTGCATGGCACGGTCGCAAGCGCTTAGCACTGCATCCCGTACATCCACCGATCCAGCCGCGTCCATGTTGGACAGCACGTCCAACTCACAGGGACCACATAACCTTTGAAGGTGAAAGGGATGCGATGCCAGCGGCTCATAGGCCAGCAGCCCGTCGTCACTTGCTAGATGCATCATCGGGTTCACGGCCGTGCCCAAATGGTGATGGCTGCTGAGAGGACATAAGATCAAACTCGACGGGTAATGTTTGGCCAGCCAACGAAAAGCTTCTAGCTTCCACTCACAGTTATGCATGCCCGATTCTTGCTTGATCTGGTTAGTGGGGTTTTGGTCCGCCAAGACATTGATGTGAGGGCTGCCCCACAAAATCACAGTCGGTGCGCAACCATGACAATGCGTCTCCACCAAGTCCGAAGCGGTGGCGTCCACCCCATCGATGATGTGCAAATGTTTGTAGCACTTTTGCATACGCCCCGTCAAAAGCTTTTGCATTGCTACAGCATCACCTTTCTTTGGAAAACAGAAGTCCGTCACGTAGATATCTACATCGTGTAGAGATGTGAGGGGCAAAGGCAGATCGAGCTTTGACAGCACATGGAGATGGTGGTACAGCACAGCTTTACTTGGACCTTTGTAGCATTCGTCGCAAGTCCACTGTGGCGGTGTTGTTCTCTTTGTCCATTCTGGGTCTGCATGCTGGTATCCACACAACTCCGGCACCAACAACCGAGACGCCACCCGTTGACACACACCACATTGCGGGGTGCGAGGCGGGTACATCACCATCTTCACGTGGGTGGATGGACCTTCTGCTCTTCCCAGCAACCAGAACAGTAGAATCCGCCATCGGTTGATCGAGCCGACAAAGCGTACAGCTGGACGTGGCAACGGTTGCACGCGAAGCATGTGCTATTGCCAAGCTTCCTCTCTTGCCTCCTTCTCGCCCACCAGACCACTGCACTTATGATTGCAAAGATGAGAGGCCGTGCAAACCATCGTCGAATCGCCATCACGTAAAAATCACTGAGGTCGTTACAAAGCTGTGGCCCAGAAAAGGCTGCAAACCGGTGCTAGTGACGATTGTGGGATACACTACAGACAGGTCTCACACACAACAGTACGACATTAAGTTAAGCCCTGCCTCGAAGTCATCGTGGATCGCTTCTTCACGGTCTAGTACCTGCGAACATCACTTGCGACAAGTCTCAAGCGACAGCTTCACAAATGAGTCAAAATCCTTCATTGATGGGCCTGCAAAACGCAAAGATAAGAACACTAAGTGCTTAGAGCCAACATTCAGCACAGAGATATTGCAAATGTAATGCGGAACATATATTGACACCGACGCAAAACACAACAAGCGCCATAACAAGTTTTTAAAGCTCTTTGTTCGTACTGCTGACAAAAATCACATGTAAGGATGCCAGAAACGGACGTGCCCACTTGCTGCGGTGAGCCGATAAGCTTTGTACTCTTCGGTCACTGGCAGGTACAAACCGCTCACTCGCCCTGGAAATTGCCAAGAGCGTCCGTGTAAAAGCTTGATAACCTCAGACAACACTTTTTTTGTCAAGTTAATCTCAAATGTTTGGAGTCCCAGACCGTCTCGCCAGCTTGGTTGGTGATGATCTGACAGCCTCCCACGAATGTGAGCAAACAGCTGTGAAGGCAAACACTGGTCTGCGGGCGTTTAAGTAAATTGCACCAAATATACAAACACCAATACTAATACGAGATTTAGGGTCTAGAATATTGAGCTTCGGGTAACGTTTATGGTTTAAGCCCGAATCTAGGTTCGTCCGGCCAGTTAGCACGCGATGAGAGCAATGACTCTTGTGCAAAAACCATGCATCCGTGGATGCAAAGGCCTCTGCAAACATGAGATCAAGCTTTGAAAGCGACTTGAAGACTTGGCAATTCGATGATGATTCCAGGGATTGGGCTCCGAACCTTGTAATCTGTCAAAGCTTCGGCCCTAACGAACCCCCACTGCTTGGACTCGTGCCGCTTTTACGACAGTGGGTTTGGTAGAGGCCGTAAAGTGCAGAACAGCATACACACTTGCATAGAAACAGGACAGAGACCTATGCACGCAGGGAGCAGAGGGCCCTTGAAAAGAAATCTGCGGATCTGCAGGAAGCACTCGCGCAAGCCAGAATGTCTTGCAGAAAGCGCACCTCGTATTTGGCGACGCGGCTCAT